TTTTTTCTATTTTTCTACCACTAAATGGAACCCCCCCCCCCCCCCCCCCTCCATCTGTTTAACACGTGTGCACACACACACACACACACATAGACAGAAACAGTATCTGACTGCCAAATATGTGTCAAAGTCAAGTTGGAAGTGTTGACTTCTGCTCCGACGTTCCTGTGTGAAAATGAAGGGGAGATGCAAAGAGACAGAGTGTGTATTTTTGTGGGCTAGCTTCTTGTAAAACAGGACATTGTGGAGGTAAATGTATTGTCTGCATGGTTTCAGAAGGACCTTTCAGTACTATGGTGGTTTCATGTTTTTAAAGGTTAAAGTCAGTTTTTCACTGTTACTTTGCCCTCTTCAGTGAGATATGAGCTTTGGAAGGATGAAGCATTATAGACTGCGTCAACATATCGCAAACTGTAAGTTCTTCAGTGAGAGCGCACCTCAACCGAGGACAACCACACTATCCTGTTTAATGTACGTTAATAGAAGGAAGTGTTTAGAACTGTACAACCTGCTTTAACCACAAAGTGAAACACAATCGTGGGACTCGTGTGCCAGATTATTTCTCTTTCAAGCACAGTACTTTAACAAGAAACACGACAATATATGTCAGCTAAGTTTTTTTACATAGTATAAATTGCCAGCTTAAAAGAGTCCATGTTGGCAGACAGAATAAACAGGAAGTGGAGGAGTATTTGTACTCCTTTTTATAGGTGGACGAAACTCAGGTCTGAAGTAGTGTTGCTCAACCTTTTCATACAACAAGGTGTCCTACTCAAAAGCTGCAATATACCAAGCTAAAGCATTTCCCCATCCAGGACTTTCCCAGGCAAAATCAATCGCCTAACAGGAAATGATGCGCTTTCTTTTCAACAACAGTTTTTTCCGGGTTTAGTAGAGGATTAGCCCCCACAAAATGTGAAGAACGATGATCGCCATTATGGAGAGAACAGACACTGGGAAATGCAGTGCAGAGATCTCACACCAATGAGCACCACAGATAAAGCCAAAATACACAAAGGAAGAAGTTAAATATTGGTTTTCTGAGCACCTCGGTGTGATGTGGAACACTAGTTTTGAATCCCCCGTTAGCTGCAGAGGCACAAATCTAACAGTCGTCTGTTGAGATTTAACCTCAAACAAATGGACACCTACGACACGGTTACCTGGTTCCTATCAATGTCTCAGTTATTTAGATGAGGACTCATCTTGAGGGCTAAATAACAGGAACACTTTCCACTTCCCGCTGGGTCAGAGGTCAAGGGTAAGTTGCACTTGTCTGTGATCCCAAATTCCATCATGTTTATTTTCTCAAAGTGGAATCGGGGATAAGCTCTTGCCAGAAGAGATTGTGAAAGCGTAAGACAATACTTTCCCTTCTTATCTCGTCTGTGGTTGTTTTGTTACCGAGGACAAAAAGTGTGTGTGTGTGTGTGTGTGTGTGTGTGTGTGTGTTAGAAAGGGGGGTTGAACTCATTTCTACATTGTTTGAGGCTGTAAAAGAGGAAAAGAAGCTTAACAAGAGAAATGTCATGGTAGGATGATACAAGCTGTTACAGTCCACCAAGGAATTTACTGTTAATATTAGGAAGGATGTAGGTAATGAGAAAGAAGTTAAGGAAAAGGAAAGTTGAGAATATTCTCAAACTCTGAAACATTTAGTCACCATGCCAAGGCTTTTACTTTTTAAAATGTTATCTTTAAAGTAGAATCTCCGACTTGCAAAGCAGCAAATAAATGACTTTGGACACGGTCAGTGGCTGTTTCCTCCTGCCTGCAATCTTTATGCTAAGCTAGGCTAACCACATCCTGACTCCGGCTCTCTACTTAACCCCTACAATTACAAGAGCGACAGAAATCTTCTCATCTGACTTTTGCTAAGAAAGGGTACAAACATATTTATCAAACTGTTACTTAAGTACTTTCACAGGGTAAACATGTACCCAGTCATTATTCTTCCACGAATGCGTCTCATGAAGGGTGAGCTCCATTTGTTGTCACAAAATATGTTGGTTAAGCATGTGCATAAACATATGTACGATGATTTCATTAAATCCATTTAAAATAACTAAAACACAGTATTGTGGAACAACTAGTTTCTAATGAGATATCGCCTAAATAAACTAAATAAAATCACTGGAATTCTGTGTATTACAGACAAATTAAGTCCTTTTCTTTTGAAAGGAATTCTGCAGGTTTTTTTTAGTAAATTTGGGGAATGACCCTCTGTCCCCCTCAGCTCCACCCAGCCCCTGGGAGAGGAGACCGCCCTACCAGAAAAAATGGCCTATCAAAACATACAGGCCTTCTGGAATAATAGCAGATAAAAGCAGTTGGCCCCACTCAGATAATAGGAACGCTCCATGGGCTCGGCTCCCAGAGGCTGTTGGAGCATGTTTGATACGAAGGGAAATTGACTTTCTCACTGATTCTGTTGTTAAGTGTGTGTGTGTGTGTGTGTGTGTGTGTGTGTGTGTGTGTGTGTGTGTTTTGAAGGCCATTGCCCAACTCTGTCCACTCACGTCCCCGCCCTGGCAGTGTGTAGCCACCAGAGACTGCTGTCAAACAAGCAGCAGCCTCTTATCTAAATGTTATGCTTGCACCCTGCAGAATAAACAATGGTTGGACCTCACTTCAAAAGGAAGCTGAGAGCACGCATGACCTGCTGGAATAATGAACTCTTGAGATGTGAAGAGCAAAAAGAGGGGCTTCCTTTCATGAAAATAAATTATCTTCAATGAGGTTAACAGCTTGTCATCAAAGATCATTAATGGCACTTGCTTAGAAAATGGAATAAATATTAAATAAGGCATAGTGGCCAGTCTTTGTGTTCCTAGTGAATTAAACTAGTGGGTGGAGCAGACTGATAGGTGCTTGAAGAGTAAGTCAATAGAAAAAAATGAAGCATCATATTTGCAAGTGTCTGCACAAAATAACACAGACTGTAACTGTAAAATCAACTTTACCGCTTACATTCATTCTTATAGTGTCATTTTCAGCCGTACCAAATCAAGAGTTTAAGAGGTGATTGAGTCTTTTCTTTTCATTTAAGAAAGACGTTTCCAGTTTCAACTTCTTCCTTTGTTTATTCATACTTATAGTCTTGTGAATTAATATTCCTCTCAGTAGTAGGAAGCAAAGGAGAGTAAACACTGGCTCTAAATGTTCACACTTGACAGACTCTGGACCAGTAGACATCCACATTTGTACACATGACATCGAGTTAAAATGACCGTCCCAAAATTACGCAAGATGATTTAAGGTTAGACGTTGACCATGAATGGTAAATGTTTGGATGTTGACCATAAATGGGCATTGAGTCTCTTTAGAGTTTTTGCACATTTTCACAAATTGTGGTTAACCACAGACACGACCCAACATAACCTTTCTGGAACATGTTTCTATGTCCTCATATCTTCCATTTAGTCCTGCCTGTCACACACTCTGAAAGGAAGGAAGCAATATGTTAGTCTCGAGCCACTCTTACGGCATTGCCCAGTAAATATACAGTCCAGCTCCCGCTTGCAAAAACAAACATTCCTCACTCTCATCCGCTTTAGGAGTTCAGTGATGAGCTCTTGAAAACAGGAAAAGTATTTAAGAGTTGCCTGGAAGGTCCCCGACATCAGTCCTGTAGATTGGACTATTGTCCCTGCTCAGATTTAAGAGACAGCTTTATGTGTTTTCCGATGGTGCTGTGCAACTCTGAGCTTTGAGTCTTTTGTTCACAAAAAAAATATTCGTCATTATAAACTTGCATGCATTTTGTTAAAACCTCTGTAGGTTATAGACCCGTTTTGTTTTTTTTTTGTACGAGAGTGTGGTTTCACGTCTTTTTTTTTTTTTTTTTTATGCGTGTGAATGTGTCCTAGTTCAATCCTCAGCTCCCATGCCCTTCGTTGTGTAAACGGTGCCCTGATGTCAAAGGTCATGGCTGTCCTGTCCCGTGTGTTTCCATAGTGAAACTCCATAGAGCGAGCGCGGCCCAGAGAGGTGAAGTTGTTGCCACTGAGCTCTACCGATGACAAATTAATTCACTTGGCAGAGTCGGGCCTTGTGCCCAAAGCTGAAAGATTAGTCTATCGGTGTGTTCTTAGCTGTTTCCTGACCTGCATCTCATTGTATTGCGGTTCACTTGTCGACACACAGCTGAAGAGTCTATTTAATACAGAGTGATTTAATACAGCGTGAAACAGCATCACTGTTTCAGTGCCTGCGTTTACTTAAAGCAGTTACAGTAGCTCCACTCTAGAGAATTTTACTTTAAATCAGAGTAGTGAACACCTATTTAAGGGGAATCATTTTTTATTGTATGCCTTTTGCGACCCAAGTTCCCAACCCTTTAGTGGTGTCTGTAGAATTACCCCCTAGAGAAAATTTTTGAATTTCATAATCTAAACTGACATTTTAAAGCATTTTGAATTCACCTCATTATGCCATCGTTAACCCTCTGAGACCTGACACATACTGGGTTTTGTTTGACTTTTTTTCAACATACTACAATATGACTTTCAAGAAATGTATCATGACATTTTATGCCATACTATATTATGGCTTGTTTGTAACATTTTTATGACATGCATACATATTATGACTTTCATATAATACTTTTTTTTTGTGTCTCTTCTTCTAGCGGCTCTGCCCTCAGCCATCCTGACACTGATGTTCAGCCCGTACCAAAGAGGAATCTACTGCGATGATAAGAGTATTGGCTATCCCTACAGGAGAGACACCATCTCCCATGGAGCAATGGCTGCCGTCACCATCACCTGCTCCATCCTCATTGTTAGTCCATCATGTTCTTCTGAGAAATGTTGTGACACAGTAATAAGAATAAAACAGACAAAAAAAAGATGCCTTTACCGAAGATTTTCTTTCCCAAATTACCTGAAAATCCTTCATTAAGTCTCTTCAATCTGCTCCACAGATCACCACGGGAGAAGCCTACCTTGTTCACACAAAGCGTCTGCACTCCAACTCCCAGTTCAACCAGTACTTGTCAGCTCTTTACAAGGTGGTAGGCACCTTCCTGTTTGGAGCAGGTGTCAGCCAATCACTGACCGACCTGGCCAAGTTCACTATAGGTCGTCCTCGTCCAAACTTCTTGTCCGTGTGCGCTCCGGTCAGCTGTACCGGATACATTCTGCAGATCAACTGTACCGGCTCCCAGCGCAATGTAACTGAATCCAGGTGAATCCCGCTGACTTCACCAAACTTCACTTCATAACAAAGATTTATAAAGACTGACATATTTTTGGAGTCAAGTTGATGGTGGCTCATATAAGAGCTGATATTGTTCAGCATTAAACATGTTTAGCTTTGTCAGTGTGGCTTAATTTGAACCATTATTAACAAAATCCTAATGGAAGCAGGACAATATTCATTTTAATGGTAATGTTAATGCACAAGTGAAATCCCATCAAAATGTCCTATTGGGATTATTTAAGAATTGGTGTGTTGGTTCTATTATAAAGGTGTAATTACATTTATTTGTCACTTCATTATCATGCTTAGTGAAAATCAGTGAAAAAAACAAGAGAATTTTGTACATGAATTGTGTTTAATTGCCGTTTTGTTGCTCAGGTTGTCGTTCTACTCCGGCCACTCGTCCTTCGGGATGTACTGCATGCTCTTTTTGTCGGTGAGTGTGTCTTCTCCATTGTTTGCTTGAGACTTTCTGTAGCTTTGAAATGTCTTTTTACCAAAGACACCCACAAGTGACTCAAAACAGGAGCCGGTGGTCAACACAGGTGCTATGGAAACATCATTGTTTCCTGATTACACATTGTACAATAGCCGGAAGAAGATGGATTCAACTATTTTATTACTGTTAGTGTTGAGTTTTATACACAGCGCTGTTCTGTGGCAGAGCTCTGACCTTTCTGTGGCGTAAGTGGGCTGGGTTCGCCAAAAGAGAAATCAAATGGGAACAAATATTTTCTATTAAGAAAAGATTGTATATTCTCATTATTTCTAGTTTGTGTGATTCCCCACAGAAAGGACACATTTTCAGAGTTTATGCAGGAATCTTGAAGTTAAATTTAGATAAATAAATATTTTGTATTTTTTTCATTTGATTATAAGAAGATACAACTAGTGGGATCCTTGATTATTTTTTGTGAAAATACTTAATTTGTTGTACAATTAAATGTGATTTTGAGTAGAGGTTCATTGTAAATTCATATATAAGTTGATTTAAAAACAAGTGTGTGTTTTTGTGTGTCAAGCTCTACATCCAGGCCCGAATGCAGGGGAAGTGGACGCGACTGGTTCGACCGACCATCCAGTTCTTCCTGGTGGCGTTTTCGTTTTATGTCGGATACACGCGTGTGTCTGACTACAAACACCACTGGAGTGACGTACTGGTGGGGCTGCTGCAGGGAGCGCTCATCGCTGTACTCACTGTGAGTGCAACAATGTGTTTCTGTGTCTTTTGTACACAAAGATTGTAGGATTACAGGTGTTTTTAAAGCCCCTATGTGCAGCATGTTTATGATTATAGGCGCACATGATCAGAAAACCCCCAAAAAGTGTATCTCAAGACCTTTGTCAACTTATTAACTCCAAAACTTCCTAGTCTACCAGCAGTACGTTGCCCCAAACAGAAACTGGTAATTGTGAATTCCATAACTTTAACAAATGGACAACTTGCAGTGTAGAAATTTATGGTAAATATATCTAGTAACTTCCAGACACCAACTCTAACAAAAACAACTGGCATGCAATAGATTATGGGATACTGAGGGCTACACACACACACTGCCTGTGTCCTCCACATTATTTTTACTTTTAAATACTCTGACATTTACTCTTCCTCTGCTCTCTAAGGTCCGATACGTGTCCGACTTCTTCAAGCAGCGCCCCCCACTCTGCACACACACGGACGAAGCAGAGATCGAAAACCTTGAACGCAAGCCGAGCCCGCAGCCTCCCGACTCGCAGCACAGAAACCACTACAACTACTCTGGACCTGTATGAGCTCTTTGCAGCAGCAGCTCTTGCCAACTTGGGGCTACACACACTCCAACAGCAGCTCCATCACCACAGGACCTGAGACTTATACAGAAAAACAACACAATGCAGTAACCACTAACTAGAAATCCAGACTAGACCTGCTCCACTCAGCAAACGGCTTCCAAACAGTTTTACAGCTTTGAAAACTCAGATTCCCCAAACCTGTTGAAACAGAAGCTCCACCGTCTGTGTGTTTTAGTTGTCTGTGTGTTTTAGTTGTGTGTGTGCTGCGAAAACACGTGGTTGTTTTTGTGTACATGTGAAACGAGTTGTTCAGTTTGAAAGTGTGCAATGTTAGATTTGTTTTGTGGCTTTTTCTTCTTAGTTTTGTGCTGCTTTTATGAGACAAATGTTTCAAATTTGTGGTGGAGAATTTGTTTAAGTGAAAAGCAAAGACTGCCAAAGAGATCTGTAAATTTCAAAAACACCGGCCAAAAAATACCTGTCCTTGCAAAGAGTGACAACATTGGTGGTTGAATGTTTTCTACTTTGTTGCTTACTGCAGTCAAATAAGACTTATTTTACCTACACTGGAGCTAGATTATATCTGTCTGTTCCGTCATTTGTTTATCGTTCCTCAGCAGATGTCTATATTTAAGTGTCTTTAGAACATATGCATGTGTAATGATGGACTGCTTTAACAATAGACATGATTTTGTATAGTGCCAACATTTATTTTGTTTTATAACTTCTTCTGTATCTAATAAAATAGTGTCGCTTTTTAAGAATGCATCACCACTACTTTGCTGTGACGTTACAGTGCAACTTTTTGAGCTGGCAACAGATGTTTTTCTTCTAATTGTGTGTACGTGTACACACATATATATATATACATATATACATACACATACATATACATATATATACATACACATACATATATACATGGTGTGTGTGTGTGTATATATATATATGTATATATATATATGTATATATATGTATATATATATATATATGTATATGTATATATATATGTATATGTATATATATGTATATATATGTATATGTATATATATGTATATATATGTATATGTATGTATATATATGTATGTATATATATATATATATACATATATATATGTATATATGTATGTATATATGTATGTATATATGTATATATGTGTATATATATACATGTGTGTATATATACATGTGTGTATATATATATATGTATATATATATATATGTGTATATATATATATATGTATATATATGTGTATATATATATATATGTATATGTAAATGTAAAACCACAATTTCTCTTTAATTTCTCACAAACTGGATCTTCCTTCCCTTTTTATAAAAACATGTGTAACCTATTGTGAAACTGCACATAATGCACTCTGTTTTGTGTAGTTTTCTCCATAAATATTAGCCAGCATGACATGTACAAGTGCTTACTTCAACATCGGGGACAAACAAATGCAAAATGAGTTTTTTTTTTGTGACGCAAGGGAAATACTTTCTCATTGAGCTTTTCTCTGTGTTCTTGCTTTACACACCGACGCAGGGTTCATGTCTAGACTTGCCACTGACGGCTGTGGGATTCCTCAGTGCCAAAGGAATGGGGCTGTTGGGCCACATCAGAGGAGTTGCTTTGTTTGTTTGTTTTTTTTTTTAAGCCTAATCGTTTCATAGTTATAACACTTGCTAGATCAGAGCGCTGTGAATATCTTCTCTCGTCTTAAATGAAATTCTAATGGAATGCACAGAAAGCAAATCTTTGTGTCAGCCTAAGTGTGAAAAAAAAATCTGTCTACGAACAGTCTGTATTATTGTTAGTCTCCTGTGTGAAAAGGCCTTCACTAATAATTCATAAGACTTGGTCGGGTCACACCAATAAATCAGCCAGGTAAAGAGTGACCTTAAAAAGGTCCAGTGGTGAGCTTGATTTGGCGTCATCCAGCGGTGAGGTCACAGATTGCAACCAGTTGAAACTTCTCCCGCGAGCAAAACTTGTAGGAGAACCACGCCAGCCGACGCTGAAACGCGATTGGCCCCATCTAGAGCCAGTCGTAAGTGTAGCATCGGCTCTTTGGAGAACAGCAAAGTCAATGTGTGTGTGTGTAGTGGGAGGGGAGTGGTAAAGAAAACACAATTCTTATTTTAAGGTGATTATACACAAAAGAAAACACTTGTATTCCATTTCTGCTAATAGATCCCCCCCAAATGTTACACACTGTTCCTGTTAAATATTTGTCCACCAGAGGGAATTCCAGCAGAAATCTGAGAAAACATTGTAATTATTTTCTTTTGTAAAGTCTTTAAACCTGCAATGATTGCGATTTTTAACACTGGCATAATCGTCCTAAAAATAGATATCGCAAAAATGCTAGCAAACAGTTAAACATTCCGCACACAGAGCAACATTAGCATTGAACCTGGAGTCAGCTCTATTTTAGTGTGTGTGTGTGTGTGTGTGTGTGGGGGGGGGGGGGGCTATCTGGCTCTTTAGTTGCTAAATGCTGCACTAGGTTCCCGCTAAGCAGGTAAGTGTACAGTTTTTAGAGCTTTATTTTTTTTGTCGTTACTGGAAGCAACGTGGATGAGAGCTACAAGAGTGAACCGGAACACTAAAGTTGCGGGTCATGAACCAAAACAACGAGCTGAAAGACTCTAAAACTGCGAAGAACTAAGAAATTCAGTGACGGGATAAATCTATGATGACACCTTTTACATTACATAGTCGTTATTAATATAAAAATAACTATCAGAGCAGCTTAACAGCCAAAGATTTAAGGCCCTCGTTAAATCTGACATAGTGGTTAGATGATGACTCCTTCAGTGAGGTTACTAATTGGGGGGAAATTTTGCAACGCGTAGTTTTTTTTTTTTTTTTTTTTTTTTTTAAATTTTTTTTAAATTGCGCTGTGCCTCTGCATGTTCCTGTAATGAGATTCATCCCTCAAAATGCCAACTTGTGCGCGAGTCAACCAAAGCTCATATCACAAAATATTAACTCACGCTGCAGAGGAGTTGAAAATCAAACTAAACATTTTTTGTTATCAGGCTCACAAAAGCTACATTTCATGAATCTCAAAATCACTTCATGTACTCACGCTCCCCCCCCCCCCCCACACAGACCAACCAAAGACAAATGAGCACTCTCAATCACATCTTTTATTTGTAAGGCACCAGAGAAGCTTCCTTACTGCTAAAAGGTTGATTCATTCTCATTAGAGTACACAGTTGCTTGTTTACATCTTTGTATTTTTTTTTTTTTTTTTTTTTTTTTGCCCCAGGTATCTTAAACTGTGTTCATAAACACATTGAACTGGTTTTTGTTTGCACAAAAGAAAAAGATAAAACATTTACAAACCTAGAAAACAATGTTAAGTGTTACTGCCTACTGAGAGAATGGGAGAAAAAACAGGAAAAAACGACATGGTATACAACATTGTGCCTCTCTTTAACTGTAGGCTTGTAATGCACACATACAACACCAAAGTCTTCCATGATACACACACGTTAAAAAGCAGCTTTGAAACATACAAAAATGCTTTAAAAATATGTATATTGATATATTCATATGTATACAAATTGGCCCTTCACAGCAAAAACAAACACACATACCATTCATATGTCTGAGTTTTGCCAAAGGAGGTTTTTCTACAAAGACTGACGTCAGCATATAGAGCGCAAATGACTAACCGATCTGTTCTCGCACTCTATATATTAAGGTCAACTCTCCAGGGAGGGAAAATCATCACCTACACTAGCACAGACAGGAAGAAGAAAAACTAAGAGCACTGAGCCACAACTGAAGTGCCTTTCAAATTAAAATACAGAGGAAAAGTTTAAGCTCCGATCTCGGAGGGTGCTCAGACGCTAAAGGTGGGTTGTCAAAGCTCTGGAAAGCACTCACATTAGAGGGGAATAACAGCGCACATCTGCAGTGTACAGATGCTTGTCCCACAGTCAGGAAATGATGACGAGAAGAGGACAGCAGCGACCGTGAGCACAGCGCTGCTGCCCTCTGCTGCCTTAAATATGAACAGTCTCATTCCTCAACGCCAGCTGTGTCCCAATTCCATGAGACATACCAACTGCAAACACACTGTATGCATTTAGTATAAGCATTCAATACACCACAAGTTTTGTAATCAAAATGTTTTTCCCATAATAGTTGTTCCACTACCATCAGTTACATTTTGATTTGCATTCTCAAAAGTCAACTGTGCAATCCAGTACACATACTACTATTTAGTATGCCAGAAAAAGATGCGTTCAAAATGCACTCTCAGTACATAAAACAGTTGCCCTTAAAAAGTACATACTGTTACATTCAATTAAGGCATACTACTTCCTCATAACATTGCATCTTGAACTTTAAAACCCTATTCTCTTACTGCGCAAAGGATTGTGGGTCAGATAAGCCAGAAAAACATGGTGGCATGCATACTACAAAATGTGCACTAGAGCATCCTGCTATTTTTTGGCGTACTGCATTTGGCATACTATTTATCGGGCCATACTAAATCCATTTCTGGTATACTAAATAGTATGGTGGTACGAGTATTGGAATGCACAGTATGTCTCAATACATAGTGTGTCAGAAACACCAGGATGTCTTACTGCATCCGGTCGCATTTTACCGTATGCAAGCCAGCATGCTTCTCTGGCTGTTCTGACCCACAATCCTCTGCTGCAGTGGATATATGAGCAAGAGTGTCAAAGTTTAAGGTGCAAAGATATGACGAAGTAGTACGTCACAATTGAATGCATACTGCATGCAACATTACGTACTTTTAACGGCAACCCTTTAAAGCAGAGAGGCGGACGTTTATCCACATGACAATGTGACAGAAAAAGAGCAACAGGAGAGAAGTTCCTGCCATTTCTGTCACCTCCACACACATCTGGGCCAATTGCTGCATTGAGTGGGTGTAAATGGCGGATTGTCAGTTTTCTGACAGTTATAGAAATCGACAGACTGACTAATTCAATTAC